CAATTATGAAATTATAAATATATATAAAAATATTCTATTTATAATATATTAATTAGAGTAAACTCGGTATATACGCCGCGCGAGGATTTATGCCGCAGAAATCAGAAAAAATAGGAGAAGTGAAACTAATTTTCTCGCAACCACTCTGTTACATGCCTTTATGTTATATTAGTATTATGTTGTGATTTCAGTTTTTTACTGTTAATATTTATAAAGTTATTGTAAGTTAAATCGATTTATCACTGTAATAAGTAGCGCAATCATAAGTTATAATCTACATAAAATGATTATTGTAGGAAATGTAAAAGGATTCGTGGTTATTTCGTGGTAAATAAGTGTAGAGAAATTGTAAAGGATAGAGTATAACAAAATACAAGTGCTTAGCTCTTGTATTCTTTAGTTTATTGTCTCCTATCTGTTTGGGATATACGGCATTTTTAGCGCGTGGGATTTATGCCGTAGCACAGACGCTATATTATTTATTTATAAATATAAAAGTAAACAATAATACAATAATACGCCCTTTACAATACATTAATTATAACATTCATGTATGTATAATATATACTTATGTATGTACTTATTCATAATCTGTATAAATAATACGTTCTTTATTTATTAATTAATGAGTAAATGCAAATTACGTTGTCAATTCACGAGTTATTCACTATTATTATTTAGATTATTTGTGTATTTTTCGAGTTATTTATTCCACTCATGAGTAGCCGTGTAACTCACCCCTATTTTTATAAGGCAAAAATGCAAGGGTTTAAAGAAATTTCTTTTTTAATATAAAAAATAAATAATTTGGATTCGTAATATTTTTTTATAATAGTAAAACAGTATAAAGTTTTTACTGGCATAGTTCATTTAACTTAAACTTAATAAATAATACCTGACAAATTAAGTTTTTAATAGGTGCGACGTATATACCGGGTTTACTCTATTATATTAATATATATACTGTATTATATATATAATAATTTGTATAATATATGTATATATTATATTTCTACACTGCTTAAAAAATTAGTTAAGTTCTTCTCTTTAAAATTTGCCAGTTATTGTCGCGTTAATTTTATTATCGGATTTAATTTTTGCATGGGAAGATCAATGCGTTTGTGCATGAAACCGTTGATGGAAATAATTAATAGATACTATATCGCATACGGATTACGGTTTGGTCCATCACGATGTCGATTACACCAGAATGTGTTCCACATACCGACGAGATTATTGCATCCGCTATACGGGATGAAAACCGGACTTAATCAATTCTACATTGTACGGTGTCGATCTCATTATGAAACTCGGACGATCTGCAGCGTCGGGATTCCAATGATTGCAAATCTGCGTAGCCGATCTCACGTAGCCGATCACAGGCTGAATTTTCCGCGGGAGTCGAGCATCGCTCTTCATATGTATACCTATACCTACCGCGGTCGATCCCATAACTTTCGTCAGACGGAAGTCTGCCCAAAGCAGTTTCGTTTCTTTTTCTTTTTTTGTTCCGTGTTGTACATATCCGATATGGAGCTCGGCAAGAAAAACAGTTCGAACAAAGGGAACGAAAAGCGCAAAGTTAGTCGGACTCACGCGAAAGTTTATAAAAGCAGAAGCCTGCTTCGCGGTAATTACCGTTATAATGTTATAAATCTAGCTATTATCCCATTACGCGGTTCATGTACACGCATACTTCCGGATTCAGAAACTTTACCTCTATAATGACCTGCATGTTGGCGTAAGTAAACTACGTAACACCATAATAATTCTTTGTCAAAGCAAGCCTCACGTCGATATATCGTAAACTTGATATATTTTTTTTTCTTGCACTTCGGAGGCGGAATCTCCAGAAGTTGTTACTGTAAAGAAAAGCTTAAATAAAGCACGATAAATTCTATTTCTAATTTTTATTTGTGCACGCGCGCGCACAAAAGCTGCCCTACAATTCGAAACCTTAATTTTATTTACAGACTCCATCTTCGAGGAAATTTTTTCTCGAAATAGGAAACTTTTCTCGATCCAAGTTCCTGGCTATCGCAATTAAATCGAGGAAATTTTTTTTAACATCGCTTCGTTAAAGAATCGAATTATTTCATTATAATTTCAAATTGCTGTATTTACTTAATTTTAAATATACAATATTCACAATTAATATTTATATTTATATTGTAAAAAGATCCAATAAGCAACGGACTAATTAAAATGGCGATATTTTCGACGCAAGATTATCTTCATTAATGCAATATATTTTGATGAAATTTAAAATCTTTCGAACACAGAGATACACATATATTCGATTTAATACTTAATTGCAGCAACAATCGTCCGAAATCGCGCAAAACAATTCCTGCATCTCATTTAAGAGTTTATAGTCGCTCGATTCGCGTTTCTTACCGTGCAGAGAGCTCGAGAGAGATACTTGTTTTATTTCTCAGCAGGATCAAGCTGAAAGAAAGGGCGTCTCCCAATATTGGAATCGTCGGTGAAATGGATCTCCTAACAAAGAGTTAGCAGATACCGCCCTGTACATTACTCGCTATACCCCGTATTTACTCCGCCGCCCTTTTTAATTAAAACGTAGCCTGTATAGTCAACTGTGTGTCTCGACTTTTGCTCTCTCCCACTTAATTCGCCATATCCGTGGCGTCTTTGTGATCCACTTTGCGGTTCGCTCGCGCAATCGTCGTCTGTCGCCGCCGTTTAATATGAGATATACCGGACATTATATCGAGGTCGATTGATAGGCTTCCGTTATTTGCCAGCCCGGGCTTCGATTATCCACCGGACTGTCGGCTCAATCAGCCAATTCCGTTGGCCGCAAACAATAGCGATACGTAACGAATCGTGTACACCTATCATCAGCTATTGTATCGTACGTGTCATACAGTATTACAATATCTATTACTTCTCATCAGATTCTCGAATATACCATGCCAATATATATATATATATATATTTTTTTCACTGTATATGTACAGTCAAACCTCGATAACTCGAACCTCTACAACTTGAAAACCTCTATAAGACGAAAATTTTGTTCATTCCCTTCCGCTCTACTGCGGAAAATCTCTATAAATCGAAATAAAACCTAACTTAACTCGAATTATTTCAATTTTTTTGTCAGATATTTAGATTATGTATTTGCCTGACAAATAATTCGAGTTAAGGTAGGTTTTATTTCGATTTATAGAGGTTTTTCGCAGCGGAGCGGAAGGGAATAAACAAAATTTTCGTCTTATAAAGGTTATCGAGTTATCGAAGTGCGACTGTATTTAGATGTATTATTTTACCTCTGCAACTCGAATTTAAAGTATCCAGATCTCTATAAGTCGAACTTCTATTTTTACTTCGAAGTTGTAGCTACGTGTAATCATGAGTAATAGTCTGGTATTTGTTTTACGATTACATTTATTACATATATGCAATAAATAATTCACTGTCAAATATTGATTTTTTTTCCTCTAAAAGCCATTATAATCGGAAAATGATAAATTCACGTACAAAGCCTCCGCAAGTCGAATTTTCATATGTTAAATACTTTTTTACTCGAATTTCGATAAGTCGAAAACTTTATAATTCGAAGTGTTTTTCTGTTCCCTTAGGATTCGACTCATCAAGGTTCGACTGTATAATTATTTTTAAACATAGATATTCACGGCGTTTTGTTATTATTTGCACACTAACTTCTCGACTGTATTTCGATCGACTCTGTACACTGAGAAAAAAAATTGATTGTACGAACTAAATTTATATATTATAGTTGTTCAATCCAATAGTTAATTCAACATTTCTTTAGTTGCACAAAAAAAAGTATAGTTCATTCATGTCAACTATCAAAAATTTTTAATTTAAAATTAACTAAACCAACTCAATTAAATTATTTTGTTTGAAATACTAGTAGTATTTATTTGTGTTTGTATGATATTTAGTTATTCAAGTAATATATTAGTTTAAATTCCAAGTATTGAACTGACTAAACGATGCTGATGGGGATAATAAATAGTGTGTATTTTTAATAGAACGGTTGAGTTGAATACGATAAACTTTTGTTGAAACAAAATAGTTTAGTTAAAAAATAATATTTTGTTTATAATACTAACAAATTATTTGGTGTCACCGTAGTAACGTTTAGTCGAACGTATCGGACTAAATATTTTGGTAAAATGAAACAAATTTTGCGTTTTTCAACAAATTTTTGTTCTCAATGTATGTATTTACTCCGTATATGCAAGATTTATTTTCTCCCCTTTGGATCTATACCGACACTGTCCCAATTTCCAATGATTAAACTTCCGAAACTCCGAAATAATAGTTTCCTCGGAATAATAATTCTTATTTTTCCCGCTTCTTTCTTTCCTGCACTCCCGCTCCGACTATTCTTTTAATATCGCATTTCTTCTCCATTCAGGACTCCTAAACTCGATTCTCATAAGATCCGGGCTTAAATTGCGCTATTGAAAAACGCATAACGCGGTTGTTATGGGCGGAAATAAAACCAGCTTTCTTCACAATCCTTTTTCAATCTCAGTGCCTATTTGTCTTTGGCCTACTTCTTACTATGTCAATTTTTAGCAATTCGTACAATTAGACGTAAACACAAATGAAGGAAAAAGCAATTTTCTCGTTTCTCTTTCCATCAAGATCGTCGTTAGACGCATCATGCAGGCAAAATTTTTATTTCTATCTTGCGAGATCCATTTCGAAAGATATCCGCGCGTGTAAACTTCTCCACTCGCCTTAAGTAGACACACCCCCTTGAACGCGACTCATCCTACCTTCTGACAGTTATAACGTCCGAAGGTCTGTCAATACTTAAACATCGACAATAAATATGTATATCGATCTGACTTTCCTCGAGGTCGGCGAGCGTGAGAGGGCCGTCTTGTGCGCGTCGCGGCGCGCCGCGACGTCGACGGAGCAGCCGCGTCACGTGACGACGGAAATCGGCGTGAAACACGCCGCGCGGGCGGGCATCGTCGTCAGTCAACCTCAGTTGGCGCGCGGCATCCGTGTGAGGCGTATCGCGCACGTTTCTACACCGGAAGGCCGGTCGATCGAACCGGTCGACGAACTCTCTTAACACGAACGCTCCGCGAAATCGCGCTTACTCCGTCATTCCGAGAAGGCCGAAGGCCTGAGTGATCTCATCCTCGTTCCGCCGGTCCTCGAAGCGGAAGAGCCGAACAGGATCAGCTGATCGTCAATCGAACAAAGTGCGAAATCCGCTCCTCTCGGATCGAAGTGCATCGTTCTGCTATGATAAGAGTGCGTCGCCAATATATTCGCGAGAATCGCGACGAGTGATCGGCTCCGGTAAGAGTCCTCCTGAAGGAAGCATCTTGCGCGCGAGAGGCCGATAAGGGTCGATCAGTTCGATCTCTATCGGACGCGGGAATTCGTTCGGAAGTAACCGTTTCAAATCTCGATTAACGTCGAGTTCGATCAACCGTCGGATCGGAGAAGGAAAGTGGAAAGGAATATACGGACTGAGAAAAGTGAAGAGAAATAGAGAGAGAGAGAGAGAGAGAGAGAGAGAGAGAGGAGAGGGAGAGAGAAACATCTCGATCAGCCGTAATCTCTCGATTCCACGTTCGGGACGCTCAGGACGATAATCGTCATACAGTGGCACGCATATCCGTGACTACGCGTGTTAGGAACATTAAGGGAACGCATGTTGCGAGCATTAAGAGCCGTGCATCGAGAACACTTCGCGCGGGAGGGAATCGAGCACCGATAATTCGGATCGATCTCGCGTCGATTAAATTCAAAATCGAGCCAAAGGGAACGCGCCCAGAGCGAAGCTCGAGGAGCTGCGTCGAATTGCACGCGAGTTTCAAATTGCCGCGCGATGCAGCTCTGAAAAATGGTATGAAAGAATAACGGGATAATAGAAGAAAAATTGTAGGACGCAGCGTCTCGCGCGGATATATATACAAGAAGCAACGCTGCGAGCGTTCTCCTCCTTTCATTCGCTTAATGTAAAGTGAATGAAAATTTCCGAGACACGAAATCCCGATATCCGCAAATAACGTAAATTTCAGAGACGAGCCGAGAATTTCGAGTGCGTGAGAATATATAAGGAAAGAAAAGCGGAAGAGAACCGCGAGGTGTTACACGGAGAGATTAAACGATCTCGCGCGGAAATTAAAATCCCCGGTTACGTGTTAGACGTTATTTAATTACATGAAAGGAAAAAAAAACAGATGGAAGCTGCAGCAAAATCCTGAATACAACTGATAATTTCGAGGGTACTCGAGACAATACGGACGAGGCAATATCCCCGCGGAGTTTCGCACATGTGGAACCGTTGTATTCCTCCGCACGCGGTATCCCGAGGTTCCCTCGACGGAGGGTATAATCTCTCTTCTTACGCGCTGGAGAAACTTGTCATAACAATACTCGCGGGATAGAAGAGCGAGGCGCACCTCCCACCGTATCCCCTCGCCGCTCTCGTGGGATAAAGAAAAACGCTAAATGTACTGGTAATAAGCGAAAAGATAATAATACATTTAATCCCGGCCGCAGGAGAAGCGCACTCCGGGAAGAAAATAATTTCCTCTCCTGATATCGCGCACGCTCGGAGTTCGCTGCGGTCTCGCTGGATCGCGGACCGGATGTGGATCTCCGTCCGATAAGGGCGATCCGAACGGGCACCGAATTCGCGGAATCACTTCGAGACGCTGCGAGACTTATAATTCCGACGCCCTTAAATGCCACCGTTTCGACGCGTGCATTTCGTCGTTGCATCCGAGTTCCGTCTGTCCGAGGCACTTGTGGCACGCGACGCTCGTACACACGAGGGACAAGGACGGCGATCTTCGCGCGCGGCCACGCGTTCGCTGCGGATTCGAGGGAGCCCGCTGTATGTCGTGTCCGTGTTTGAAAGGGCTCGACGCGCCTCGTGAAAAGCCGACTCGCCGCGCGACAATCCGTGGGATGTTGCCGAGAGGATCAGTCTGAAGAGCGAGAGGGAAAGAGAGATAGAAAAGAAGAGAAGCCCATAATGATGGAAGATGTTCTGAGGTCCGGCATGACGCGAGGTGAGCACCCCTTCACGTTTTTCATATCGGAATTATTGGGATTATCAGGGAACAGAAAAATTTTTGCAGAAAATTTTTTTTTCAAATATAACGTAAAAAAAAGGATAAAAAAATTTCTAAAACAACGCGAGCATGAAAGGATATAAAGAGTAATACGTAATATATATGTACAATAAAAAATGTATGGAAAATATATGTTATATACGCTTGTACGAGTTTCGGAGTTGATTTCGGTTTCAGCGAAATTCCAATCTGTCGTTTTCGCTTCTCGGAGTCGAATAATCGGAGTATTAATATTACATTGAGTAATACTTCGTATCAAAATTATTGAGATTTCATGGAGAATAGAGTGATTTAAATCTGAAGAAATCGGGGGGTTAAAAATGTGTTATGCACGAAGGAGGGTAACATCATTGAATTTCTCGCCTTGAATTTTTCGTTACGCAACGATGGTTTTCAATTATTTTTACGCGACCCGCCGATCCTGACGAGAGTTAGCGGACATTTGTCACTTTATCGTGAAGGCAAAGGCGCGCGCGAGAACGGCAGTGTGCTGAATTCCATTAAAGTTTCCATTACTTTGGAACTTACGACGGGAATGAAAACTGCGTTTCTCACCCCCGGGGATAACCGATAGACAGAGTCCGCGCTTGCATTATAAAGTATTTAATGACCCGATATTCGTATACCCTACATCGCAAGTGCTACATGCGCTATTCGCTCAAAAGTATCAAAGAGAATGGAAAAATGTTGTAGAAAGTGCCATTCAATTAGGAAATAATTAAAAGACTAATTCCATATCCCGATATAAATCGATATGTAAAACTGCAGATATAATCCAACGATTCGCGAATAAATTTATTCAATTATTTGAGCATAAAAATTGCTCTATTTCTAGCCCTCGATCTTCTATTATTTCTGGTTTTGTTCCATTATTTCTCGCCCTTTGAATTTTCGAACCCTCGCAGAATCGATAAGATATTTTCTTATTTATGTCAAATTAACGGGAACCAAACGGATTAATAGTGGAAACTGTGACATATAAAAACAAACGCGTCGAGATCGAACGTCCAGGTGAAATAAGACTGCGCGAGTTTTACCATCAATTAGTGCACCAAGCTCGCTAATCGCGTTCGCGTAGATACACGAAAGTCCATGAACGCGCGGTGACGAACGGCGGCAGTAAAACGATTTCTCGCTGATAGTCTCACAAAGAAACAATTTATCCTGCGATAATCGGACTGTTTATCCTATTTGCAACACAGCAGTTGTGTTTGAAGTTGCTTTTCTTGAGTCGAGAGTAAAGACGTACTGTTGCAGCTTTTAAACCGTATTGATTATTTCAGGTCTCGACGTATTATAATTTCATTTCGCGTTAATTTGACTTTATCAAGTAATATCGTACCTGTTATAAATCGGATTGCAGCATTAGATATTTATATTTGGATTTGAACTTCTATTTCTCGCCGAAATATTTCATTAGCGCGCACAATAAAAAAGTTCAGTTTAATTTAATATTAATATTAATACTAAAAACAATTGAAATTTCCACATCTGAAATTTCTTTCAGTAAAAAAATTCGTGGTGTTTACCTTACATTTCTAATCGTGAAAAAAATATGAGAACAAAACGCATACGGAAAGAACAATTTTACTGGATTCAGATCTGAAAATAATTTTTGTTTAATAATTTTGTGTACAAGTCAAAATGATTGCTAGAATATCAAAACCGAGGGGTTAACCACTAGTAAAAAAATGTACAGTGATTATGGCAATACACGCACTTTATTGCTAGTATTGCTATTGTATTGCTTTTGTATTGTCAGTAATATTGCCATCTATTATCTCATGTACTGCCATCTATTGCACAATATTGCCAAATATTGCTAATGTATTGTTAGGTATTGCTCGAGATATAGTTATGTATAGATAACGTATTGCTAGTATTGTATTGCCGCAATACGATACTAGCAATATATTCCCAAAGAAATGTACACTGATTTTTATAGTGGTTGATTCCTCGATCAAAACGTTTTATAGCAATGCTTATCAGTTTAGTATTCCAACACGGAAAAAATTGTTGTGGATGTTACAACAATATTTTCTATGTTTGGAAAAGAAATGCATGTGAATTTAAGTTATACTGATGTTACGTGGCATTCATCTGTTAAGGTATGTTCATTAGTACGGTTGTCACAACCGTAGTGCTTAGGATAAATAATATTTGGTTAGAATATCTTCATATATGTGGTTGCCTCAACCGAAGCATTATTGTTATCTCTCTAGTATGGTCTATACAACAAATATCTACTTGTAGTATGATTGAGAGATATACAGGGCTGGGCAAAATACATCATTAAAGTATTTAAAATACAAAATATTGACAATCTTAGTATTTGGATTACAAAATATAAAATACTTTCAATCTTTTGATTTGAAATACAAAATACAAAATACTTTCAATCTTTCGATTTGAAATACAAAATACAAAATACTTTTAAGTTTTTATTTGAAATACAAAATACTTTGTAATTTAATCTTTCAATTACAATATTATTAAATTCCTCCCCTTTTAACAGTCCCATTGTCCTGTATTAACCGCACAAGAAATCTATTTATTAATGTGAGATTATGAAATTTGACTCTGATTACTTGATATTGCTTGAAACTTGACGAAAATAATTAGTATCGCTAATTGTCATGAGAAAAATTTAAGTTATTATTAATTGTTTTCAAGAATTTTTATCAATAATTTCTTTAGTATTTCAAATACAAAATAGATTGAAATTTGAAATACAAAATTGTATTTGTTGTATTTGAAATACAAAATACATTGAATAATTCGTTTGAAATACAAAATACTTTTATGTGCTCCGCTGAAATATAAAATACAAAATACAAAAATTGTATTTCAAATACTGTATTTTAAATACAAGTATTTGAAATATGCCCAGCCCTGGAGATATATATGATATAGTTGCACGTCACAACATTGAGGCTGAAAGTTCAGTTAACTATATAAGTCACTTCTAAAGTATTTTAATTTCTATAATCCTTCTAAATTGATGGGCAAAAATTATCACAATTATTAGGTTGTGGCAACAGTATTTTTTTTCTCCGTGAACAAATTATTTTGATGATTAAATAAAAAATTATTTTCAGATCTGTTTTCAGTAAACTTTTTAGACCTTTCAACAAAATTGTTCTTTCCGTGGCCGGCTGCGCAAAATTTCTGTACAAAATCAAACCGGTTATCGCATATTATAATACCCTCGTCGCTTGTAATTTAATTGTTACGCTTACATTTTCCGAGGACCTCGGTTTCATTATAGGTCTCGTCGCAAAACTCGCAAAAATTCAATTTCCTGTCGAATCGAGAAAATCGAGTTATCCTGTACGTAGGGACGACGCGCCTCTACGCGCGGGGAAACGAAATATCGGCCGACTACGTTAGCAATCGAAACTTTTCCTCGGACGCGCGACACGGAATTTCGACGTCGTGAAACCGAGGACGCGACGACGCGACGGTCGAAAAGCCATGTCGGAAGTGTGCCCTCGTCGCCGCGTCGCTAACTTCCGCCCGTATATCGCGTGTATCGTGCCACCCTGGCTCCTGTCGCCGGGGCGTCACTTCTTCGAGGCGGAATATCGAGTTGGGGCTTGTCGCGCGGAACTGATCTCTCCTAGCTCTCCCGGTCTCTCGGGCCAATTGCGGCCTCGACATACCAGCGAATAGTTACGGTAGTGCCTTGAAACGCGTTAAATTGCATTGCAGTGAATTCGGATCGGCCCTCTTTACGCGGTCGAAATTCAACAGCGGTGAAAAAGTTTCGAGAGCAATAATTTCGCGACGAACGCTACTGTTTCGAACTGTATAATCGCTTTCAGCGCGGTCGAGCCGAAGGCCCTTATCGCCCTTATATAAGAAACAAAATGATCTCGGCCTTGCATGAATATTTATTGGATGTTTGCGCGGACCTGACTTTACCGTACAACGCGCCGTCGGGAGCCTTTCGCCCGATTACACGCAATCCGAACCGCGCGTGTGTAATTAATTAATATTAATTGCAACACCGGAACACCCGCGGTGCAGCGCCGGCCGGAGCGCGGAGATTCGTTCGGATTTATTCTAACGTATCGGTCGCCTATGCATGCGACCGCACTCTCGCGCTATACGTTTCACCGCGCTGCTGTGTATCTCCTCTCTCCGTGAAGCAGATTACATTACCGCTAACCGAATTCCGGCGTTACGAGAGCACACAATTCGGAATGGGGCTCGGGGATTGAGTGCGGGACTCCATCTTGGTCATTTTCGCCTTCTACAATTGCCATGCACGTGCTTTGCGCGCGAGTGATTTAATGCCCCGTTTCGTTGCCGCCGGCCGCCTTCTCAGTTACACTTCCTGGCTTCTTCTGTCCGATATTTGTTCCCGTAACGTTCTCCCGCGCGCACCAAATTTATTTAATTCGCACGCACAAACGCGTTTATACTGGCGCGCGCACGAACACACACACACACACACACGCACACGCACACGCACACGCAGTCGCACACGCACACGCCACGCACACGCACACGCACACGCACACGCACACGCTCACGCACACGCACACGCACACGCTCACGCACACGCACACGCACACGCACACGCACACGCACACGCACACGCACACACACACGCACACACACACACACACACACACACACGCACACACACACACACACACACACACACACCGAGAGAGAAAAATATAGTTGAAATAATCATAATTTAACTATAATTTATAGTGAATTTCGGGAACAATTATAAAATTGTAATTAATTTAACCATGCAAATTATAGCTGCTTTAACAATACATTATGGTTACACATTATGATTGATATTATTTTTTTTTATTTGTACTTATTTTTAATTATTATTACAATATAAATAGTAAGCAAATGTTAAGAAAATATAGTTATATTTACTATAATTGCAGTTGCATTTACTACATAAAAAT